AAGCAAAGCGGCGGAACACGCGGGCAGCGGACAGGGCTGTCCGCTGCCCACGCGCTCCGCGGCTTGGCGCTTTGCCTCCCCCCCCTCCCCCGGTCTGCAGACCAGGGGGACGGGGGGCGGGGCAAAGCAGAGCCAAGCCTCGGAGCGCGTGGGCAGCGGACAGCCCTGTCCGCTGCCCACGTGTTCCGCCGCTTTGCTTCCTCTCCCTGGTCTGCTGGAGACCAGGGAGAGGAACCCCGTTCGTAACTGCGGATCCGACATAAGTCGGATCCGCGTAACTCGGGGACTGCCTGTATACTGTATTCAAAATTAGGATTGGCACATTTCTCCTTAAAGTAGCCATTAGCAATGCTTATATATTTTACATAATTAAACGTGTATAACTTAGCTAATTTGAAAAATGTCTTTACCTATTGAAACTTGGCTTCTCTTCTGCTTTGCTTTACAATTCAACTCAAGATTATCCACCTGCATCATAAAACCACTTCCAAAAGTAGATTCTCTTTCTTGTTCTATGGCGTCAGCATTGATGTTGCTAAAAGACCTTAGTTCAGTCTCTCCACAATGACTGTTACGTTCTTCAGTCTCTTCATGCTCAGCCACCTTATCCTCAGCATGTCTGGCAATCTTTTCCTCTTTAGAAAATCTACTGAATTCTTGGAAAGAAAATGACAGGTTCTTATCTTTGAGATGAAGACTTCTGAATTTATTTAACTGATCCAAATAAAAATAATATTTATCCAAAACACTAATATCACAGTCTGAATATAGCAATGTTTTATCATCACAGCATAACTTCTGGCAGTCATCATTTCTTTCTCTTAATTTGGAAAATTCCTCTGAGTTGCTTTCTGAAACTTGTGAAGATTTGATGACTTGATTGGAAACATTCTTGTGCTTGTCAGTCACTTCTCCTAGGAATACTTTGCATTTATGTTCCATATTATCTTTATCACACTGTGTAAATACACCTAATAAAATACAACCACATCCATAACACCAAGTTATATCTGGATAACTGAGACTTCCAGAGTCAGGGCAAACTTTAAAAGTGTGTTCTTGGGAGTTCACTAATGAATTCAGCAAAGAAACACTCCTTTGTATGGCTGGATCTTTCTTAGAGGATTTTAGATCTATTTCACTTTGGGCTCTCTTATAGTTATGTCCTTTACCTATACTCTTGTCAAAAGTTGTACTTCTGAACATACTGTGTGTTTTGTCTTCTCCAATCAATTTTTTCACTTCAATAGTGGAATCTGAGTCTTCCACATCCTTGAATCTTGATTCATTTTTCTGTTCTGTCTCTCTCTTCAGAGATGTAATATCTATCAACAGCTCTTTCAAGTCACCATTTTCTACCTCAGATTCACTAGAGAAGGAAATACATCTGTTTTCAGCCTCTCCCTTAATGCTACCTGCAATAAGCTTGCCTTCACTGCAGGCATTAGCCTTTAATGGCAATTTGAAATCCTTATGTTTATAATTTTCTTTGTTCTCTAACGTGTGCTTTTCTTCCACAGTCCATTTTCCATTGCTGTACATCTTCCTCCCAGAGGCAGTACTGCCTCCCAGCACAGCCGAACTCAAATATTTTATATTTTTTCCTTTAAAAGAAAATGTGTTTTGTGAAGATTTTTTTTGCTCCTTCATCTCAGCATCAGACCTATTTGATTTCTTTGTTGTCACAATTTTTTCTGCATATTCCTCATCTGAACTATCAACTAGGGGAGGCCAAAAATAAGTACTAGGATCTTCATTCAGATTCTCTGTGGTTTTAGTTGAATAATTGTCAGCTTCACACACAAACTGAGGTTGTGGCTGGACAAGATGCATTTCTGACCACATATCTTTCTCACCTACATTTTGAAATTTTGATTTTTCTTTGCTGTTATGAGTTTCATCAGCATGTGCAAGTTGCCCCAAAATAGCTATGGAAATCTCAGAGTCTTTTCTTTCTTTCTTGTTCCTAATTACTGCATTTTGCTGATCGTTATTTTCCTGAATGTTATAGAAACATTTGTTTTCAGGGGATGATGTCTTATCTCTTAAATGTCCAAGAGAAATGCACCTCTCTGTATGCTCTGAGTTAACTTCAGAGATTGAAGAAAGGCTGCAAATATTAGCATGCGCATTGAGGTTAAAATGATCTTTAGACTGTGACAGAGAACCACATGAGCTTCTGGTTTCTTTCTTCCCACCATCTTGTGCTATCTCACTTTCGTTGTCTTGAGACAAAACTACTCCTTGAGGTAACTGTGAAAATTTCAGTCTATGAGCTGCTTGCTGAGATTTACAGAGGAACGAATGTGCCAAATTCATAACATGCTGGAGTTTTTGTGTCTCTGGAACAGTCAGATCCTCAAGTAGTCTATGATCCAATTCTGAAATACTGGATTGCTTCATGCATTTGTGGTGTGTTTCTGCATTTGCGATAATTGTTTCTTCTTCTTTTCCTTGATGGTTTACTCCAGGTGATGTCTGAATTAAAAATTTATTTCCATTTCTCCCATCATTAGGTTGCTGACAGCCACTTGATGTGGATGTCTGATTTTCTTCTTCTGTAGTGCTAACTGTAGAGCATAAAACTGCTCTGCTGGAAACTGGTGAATTTGATTTATTATCAGTACCACAAGATCTAATCTTTGTCCTTCCATTTCTTCCATAGTAAGCTAAGCGCTTAGCCCGTAAAAGCTTAAGGTCCTGAGTGCGAGGTGTGTCTGCTTCATTAATGATTTCAACATGAAGTTGTTCAGCTGCTTTTTCAGATAAATACTCCATCTGCAAAAAAAAAAAAAAAAAAGCATTTCCAGCAAGACCTGAACTACAAACATAATTCTCACAAAGAGAAATGTTCCATAAACACAGTCAGTGCAGCATTACAGAACTGAACCAACAACTATATGCAAAAAAGGCAAGGAATGCGTATCAGTTTGCTAATTGACTAATTGAAACAAAATGTAATTTTGCTTTTCCATTCTGAGGCTAATGATTTGATTCTGCATCCAATAATGTCAATGACAAAATTCCATTAACTTTCATGGGTGCAAATTAAAGCTGTAGGACCTTGTTTCTTAAACTGTGTTCTGCAGAGAACCCACAGGTGTGCTGCGATCATTTGAGGAAAAATAACAGCCGCTAGACCAGCTGAGATGCAGTGGGTGGTGTGAAGGGTGGAAGAGGTGAGTGAGTGGTGTTGCAGTTGGAAATGCGGCAGGGATCCCGCGTTCCTCCTCACGTGTTTCCGTGCCCAGTTTGCAACCACCTGGGAAAGCTCCGTGCCTCGGTTGTGCCCCTTGCCAGAGGGGAGGAGCATTGCAGGGCCAGCAGCAGGGCCAGCTCTGATTGGCTGTCTTCGCTGCTGGTCTGGGGATCCTGCCTCCCAGGGGAGAGAACTGCCCCCACAGCCACCAAACCAACCGGGTCTTTGCACCACTGCCTTTAGCTCTCACTTGTTACCCAGGACAGCTGAGGGGGGCCAGCACCTTCCACCCTCTTGCACAGACAAGGCCTTCCCTTCAGTATTCTGTGTCAAAAATAACAGAGCCAGGGGCTAGAACTACTGAAGGACAAAACATTAAGCAGCAAGGGATCCACTGTGAATTGGGGGGCAGGGGAAAGGCCCTCAGTGCCCCTAATTCTGGCGTGGCTGCTATGGCTGCTGTCAATCAGCTGCTTGACATTAACCTGGGCTTGATAAGGTACTGAATTTATTATTTCCACCAAAATAAGTAAACAGAGTAAATTTCATTTCCCAATCAAAAAGGCAAAAGTGAGTAAATATAGTACTGCTGAGGAACCAGTACCATCAACTAGTGAAATACACGTAAACATTTCCACCTCTCAATGTAGCACATCGTCCCCAGAACCAAAAAGGAAGAAAATGATATGTGGAAAATATGATCCTGTATACCTAGCATTTGGATTCACATATAGAGATGATTGCCCACAATGCATTATTTGCTTGGAGATTTTGGGTAATAGCTCTATAGTTCCATCAAAAACTTAAAAGGCATTTGGAAACAAAACACCAGCAATATCAGAATATGCCAATTGATTTTTTTAAAAGAAAAGAGAGTGAATTGAAAGCTCATAAGAAACTGATTCGAATTACGGGAACTGGAAATGAAGTTGCCCTTAAAGCGTCATTTTTTAATATAATTTTGCATTGCAAAATCAAAGAAAAACTTCACCGTAGGGGAAGAATTAATTATGCCTTGTATTTTGGATGCAAGCCATGCAATTTTGGGAGATGAAGTTGCCAAAAAACTGAAATCAATTCCTCTTCCTAATGATACCGTTTCAAATCACATAATTATGATGAGCGTAGACGTTCATCAACAACTTTAAAAAAATAAAAACGTCAAAGATGTATGTTCTGCAAGTAGATGAGTCGACTGATATTGATATTGTTGACAAAGTTGTGCTGCTTATCTATGTGCAGTATGTGGACTGGGATGAAGATGAAATTAAAGAAGAATTCATGAACTGTCTGGAACTGAAAAAGCATACAACTGGCACTGAAATATTTTCAGCATTGTCAGATTATGTCTTAAGTGCCAATTTAAAAATGTCAGACTGTGTTTCAATTTGTACTGATGGTGCGCCTAATATGACTGGTAGGCATGCTGGGTTAGTTGCAAAAATGAAACAAGTAGTGCCAAATATGTAAGGCACACAATGCATTATACATCAAGAAATGTTATCAAGTAAAAGTATAAGTGCCGAATTAAATCAAGTCCTAACAACAGCTGTGAAAACAGTCAATTTCATAAAATCCAGCACTCTTACTTCACGACTGTTTGCAATCTTATGTGATAAAATGGGATCCACACATAGAACTTTATTATTGCATGCGGACTTTTGCTGGCTATCGAGAGGCCGGATATTAAAGAGACTATATGAACTTAAAGAAGAAATAATCATATATATATCAAGCAAAAACTGTGACTTTGTTCAGTACTTCAAAGACATAGATTGGAATATGAAATTGTTCTATCTTGCAGACATATTCCAGCATCTGAATGAGTTAAACTTGTCTCTTCAGGGACCACATAAAACTATTTTTAACACCTATAATAAAATTGAAGGGCAAAAGAAAAAAATTAAACTGTGGATCGAAAGAATTGAAAACAACTGTTTTGATATGTTTAGTGCCTTAATGGAGCTTATAAACGAGTCAAAAGAGAAGAATGAAAATTACAATTTTTCTCAGATTAATCTGATTATTTTTAATCACTTGAAAATGTTGTCACTCCAATTCAAGAAGTATTTCCCTGCAAACCAAGATCCAAGGGAAGATTTTTTTGTGAGTTTTGGATACATTCAAATTCACTAGCCAAACACCATATCTATGAATGAAAAGGAGATGTTGGCAGATCTATCTTCAGACATCACGTTGAAAAACTCACAAAACAATTCATCACTTGAAAAGTTTTGGACAAAAGTCCACAGCGAATACAACCTGTTAAGTGAAAAGGCTTTAAGGGTCCGACTTCCTTTTCCTTCAATGTACCTTTGTAAAAGTGGATTTTCAGCAGTCACTGCAAGACCAAATATTGAAATAGGTTGACTATTACACCTACATTAAGACTTTCTTTAACAAATCTCACTCCAAACATTGATGAAATATGCCATCACATGCAAGCTCATCCATCCCATTAAGATTAATAATTAACGATGTATATGATTAACAAATATTATGATGTTTATTAAACTAAGCCATGTAATGTCTTTATTCAGACCTTTGTGATGGGTCCCAAACCTGTAAATGAAGTTAAGTTTCAACACTTCCCTGTGTATTTGGCTTGTGAAATTGGCCTGAAACAGCACAGTGACTTTGAGATCCATTAATGAGTGCTTGGGCAGGTTTAAAACTGATGTCTAACAATGTCATTTGGTGATTCCTAGTTCTTGTGTGTTATGCATAGTAAATAAAACTTCTTTATTTACTTTCTCCACACCAGTCATGATTTTATAGATCTCTATCATATTCCCCTTAGCCATCTCTTTTCCAATCTGAAAAGTCAGTCTTATTAATCTTTCCTCATATAGAAGCTGTTCCATATGCCTAATTTTTGTTGTCTTTTTCTGTACCTTCTCTAATTCCAATATATATTTTTGAAGTTATCAGAGCTCCAAGCAATATTCAAGATATGGGTGTACCATGGATTTATATAAAGGCAATATGACATATTCTGTCTTATTATCTATCCCTTGCTTAATGAATTCCAACATGGTTTGCTTTTTTGACTGCTGCTGCACATTGAAATGATTTCAGAGAACCATCCACAGTGACTCAACGATCACTTTCTTGAGTAATAACAGCTAATTTAGACCCCATTATTTTAAATGTGTAGTTTGGATTATGTTTGCCAATGTGCATTATTTTGTATTTATTATCATTGAATTTCATCTGCCATTTTGTTGCTGATTTTGTAACTCATCACAGTCTGCTTAAGACTTAACTATCTTGAGTACTTTTTTTAATCATCTGTAAATTTGCTATTTCACTGTTTACAGTGCATTATGAATATGGTGAACAGTACTGGTCCTAGGTACAGACCCGTGGGGGCACCAATATTTACCTTTCTACATTCTAAAAACTGACCATTTATTGCAAGCATTTGTTTCCTATCTTTTAACCAGTTACTCAGTCATGGCCAACTCACGGATCATGAGCTTCTACATTCTAAAAACTGACCATTTATTGCAAGCATTTGTTTCCTATCTTTTAACCAGTTACTCAGTCATGGCCAACTCACGGATCATGAGCTACATGTGGCTCTTGCCCCCCAAAAGTGCAGCTTCCAAAGCCTCTCATGTGCTCCCCCCCGGCTTCCCTGTGCTTACCTGGTTAGAGCTGTGGGGTTTCAAAAATGGTGCCTAAGATGGCAGCCGTCTTAAAGGGGCAGCCTCCTTAAAAAAAAAATTTTATTTTTATTTTTTTGCTTGACAATTCTGGTGCGGCTCTTCGCATTTTTTCCCCTGCTGTTTTGGCTCTCTTTGTTAAAAGGGTTGGACACCCCAGAGTTACTGATCCATGAAAGGACCTTCCCTCTTATCCTTTGATAGCTTACTTTGCTGAAGAACCTTTGGTGACGGATCAAAGTCGTTCTGAAAATCTAAGTACACTATATCCATTGAATCATCCTTGTCCACATGCTTGTTAATCCCCTCAAGGAATTGTAGTAGCTTGGAGAGGCATGATTTTCCCTTACAAAAGCCATACCAAATCTTCTCTAACAAATCATGTTCCCATCTATGAGTCTAACAATTCTGTTCATTACTATCGTTTCAATCAATTTGCCTGGTACTGAAGTTAGGCTTACTGGTCTGTAATTGCCAAGATCGCCTCCAAAGCCTTTTTAAAAAACTGGTATAAAGGTACAATGAACTGGACAACAATTCCACCTTAATTATATGGAGATTAAAATGCATTTAATCGAGTAAATGCGTAACTGCTGAAATTTACAGTTACATGTAGGGAGGGCAGGTGGCTCCTCAGGAGCAGGTGCATGTGGGCTGGCTCCCTGAACACTCTGGGAGCCAGTGTGTTACCGTGAAAGTTAACTGATGATCCCAGACTCATTGGTTAACCATGTATATGGTTACACTTTCATTTCCCTACTTATTTATACCTATGCTACACCTCAGGTACATTTGAGATATCAGTAACGATGCTCAAGAAGAAAAGAATCCAGATTGACTTTCAGATCCAAGTTTCTGGATTTGATAGATTTAAAAAAAAAAGATCAAATATCATATGAAATAACAAAAAG